TTTTGTCAGGACATTTTTAATCTCTGTAAATAATCTCTTTATAAACATAATCTCTCTACAAATAGTTTTTTAAATAATGCGTGGATGTCTGTTAACTCACAAGAAAAATAGCTTCTGTAAAACTAATTATTCCACTTTTCCCCTTTGTGTTTTTTCTCTTCACCTAATCTACATTCCTTGCTAATGTTAGAATTGGTGTTTTTTGCAGCTTTAATGCTTTTTTAAGCACTTCTTGCCAACAAGACTTTTACATTTCTTCCAATGAATTATAAAATCATTGCCAGACTAGGATTGTGCACCATGGATATAATTCTGGATTTTGTCAGTTCTTTGATATGCTGTTTTCTGACACTGTGTGTTTACATGATGAATAAAGCAAACTGGTCTCAGACTTTGCAGACTGATAGTTAACCTTTGGTAATAAGGCTAAACTGATACATTAATAGAGCAAATTAATGAATTAAATGAGAAATTAAATATGAATTCTGGGTAAGTAAGTAGATAACACTGATTACACTGGTGCTAGTGATAAAACAGCATTAAATGGTGTGACATTTATTAGCATTAAGAAGAAGAGGAAAAACAATCTTAAACTGTGAATTGGTTTTATTTTTGGGGCATTTTATTTCTTACAGGTTTGAAGATTCTGAGACAAATGAAACTGAATGGAAGGTGTTGCCTGGGTGTCAAAATGTTACTCGTACAGAATGTGACTTTTCTTCAGCAATAACTGAATACTATGATACACATCATGTGCGTATAAGGGCTGAAAGAAGGGAAGAAGTGTCTCCATGGTCTAGCATTTTTGAAATGATTCCATATTTTATAGGTATGACCTCCGTATATACTGTACATTTTTTAGTTAAATGTCCTTTGGCACGTTATTGTGGAAAAAATGCATGTGGTTTCCATTGCTCATAACAACATGAGCTAGTGGTTTTCTCAACCTTAATGTAATATCAGGTATTTGCAGGTCATGGAATGTTATGAGTCTCTTTTTTTTCTGAAAAGAGGAAAGCGTTATATGTGATGCTGTTTTTCTGACAGAATTTTCTGTCACTCTATGTTTCTAGATTTCAGAAAAGTCCTTTTTGACAGTGGACTTTTCTGGAAGTTTTCTTCTGACTTCGTGACTTTTCAGTAGTTACAATATAGTATGGTAATGAAGCCTTCCCTCAATGTTGGTTTGATTTGTTTGAGACAGGTTTCTTGCCTGCTTTTGGAACCAGGTAATGGTGGTTCGTTGTTAGGTTAGATTTCTATTAGATACTGCCTGAGATTCACAAAACCCAAGATCCTGTAGGCAATTACTGTGATCTTGTTACTGCCTCAGAAGAATTAAAAATAAGATGCTATAGACAGTTACTGTGGTTTTATTAATGTAAATTACTTTTTTTTTTGTCTTTTCTTTAAATAATCATGTTTGACTTTTTTTTCCTTTTAATATTTGCAGCTCGGATTGGTCCCCCAGGAATAGAGTTGCAGTCCACAAATGGAGTAATAAAAATTAAGGTTTCTCCTCCAGAAGCAAATCAGGTCAAAAAAATGTGGATAGCTCATCTAAGTTTTAAATATAATCTAGTTATCTGGGAAAATTCATCAAATGCAGAGGTATGATCAGATTTTTTTGGTCTTTGGTTTGGGTGATTTTTTTTTTTTTACTTTTTAACCTAAACATAGCTGTCAGAAGTGTACATTGCTTCGTACTCTAAAATGAAATTGTTTAATTATGTAACTGTGTATAACTGTTGCTATGCAGTTTAAAAGTTGGGAGGGTGTGTTTTGTTGGGGTTTTTTGGCTCTGTTATTACTAGAGGATTGTATTAGATATATTGTGATAGGAGTTTGTATTTCTGTTAAATGCTGGAGCCACTTTCCAATGCATGAGGAAGAAGGTGAAGACATCTCACATGTGTCAGAACAGGAGCCACCCTCAGCCA